TTCAAGATAATAATATGGTATTGGCACTAACTACGATTCATCATGGGCGCAGTTATTGAATGTACTTGTAAATGCTCAGGCTAACTCTCAATCAATGTCAATATTGTTAGAAAAGTCTTTAAAGGTCAATCACAAAAGAAGCTGAAAATCCCATTGATTATAGGTGATTATAATCATCATATGAATGGGGTACATCTAGCAAATCAATACTGAGCAGCATATACTAGTCATAGAGTCATCTATCACACCTGGCTTTCTATTCTCTACTGACTTATTGATTCCGCAGCTATTAATGCATACCGGCTTCAATATCTATATATGAAGCAGCAGAGGATTTCAGTGAAGGATCTTTCTTCTCATATAAGCTTTCATGAGAAGCTTTACCAGGAACTCTTTGAATTCACATCTAGGATTCATGATAATCTATCAAGGGAATGATCAAATTCTAATCTAAATCATCAACGGATTTCTCTTCCAAAGCAGCGTGTTTGTGCCTGGTGTCAATATAAATGAAAGATTGGCCAGCAGAAATATAAAAAGATAGGGAGATCAAGTTCTGACTGTTCAGAGTGTCAAAATACCCTTTTATGTTTGAAAACTCAATGTTGGGCGGAATTTCATAGTATATCCTAATATCTATTTACGCGGATCCTTAATTAGGGTTTATATATAACCCTAATACCAATGAATACTCAAAAATACACTGATTATTCAATGAGATCTCGTATAATATACACTAATGAAACCACGCTAATTTTGCACAAACCTACGGACGAGGAGATAGTTGAAGCCTCATTCTTGGTGATGCTTTCATTTATGTTGTTGTCTGTGCTCTTGCTCACACTTCTGGCCATTCTGGGACTGCATGTGCTGTTGAATCTGATGTGGGTTTCACCCTGCTGGCTCTCCATCTCTGACTCCTGGTTGGACGGGTTTGACGTCCAACGGCTTAGGGTCCAGCGTGTTCGACTAATGTTTGTTTTTCTCTGTTTAAAATCACTCCAGAATGAAGCCTTTCAGTTTTTTTATATATTTTGCTATTTTTATTTACTTTGTTGATCTAGTAACCCTAACCGCTCCGTTGCCTGGGTGAAAAATATAGATATTTAGTTGGGTCTGGTTGGGTTGATGGCTTACCCCATCAAACATCGCACCTCAACTCATTGACTTTGACACCACAATGTAACCCCTTCCCGGCGGAAATTATCGCTTTTGATTTGGATATGTTGTATTTCATATCCACTACGGCCTACATGCAAAGTTTGAAGTCAATTGACTCCGTGGTTGATTGGACGTTCAACGTCTGAAACCAAATGGAATGTACGTCCAATCTGCCCTGCTCTGATTGGTCGGTTTTCTAACCCTGAATGGAATGGACGTCCATTCCACCCCCACCTGTTGGATAGAATGAACCCTTTCAGTTTTTTTATATATTTTGCTATTTTTATTTACTTTGTTGATCTCATTCTGTACCTGCATATGGTTTTGTGATGACATCCAACCCTGACTGAGACATGGAGTCCAGCTGTGTTGGGTCTGTCAGTGCTTGTACATGCTCCGTATAGTTCCTCCAACATACTGACATTCAGATTGCCGCCAACACATGTAGCCATTGTGGATGAGCGGCTCATGTATTGGTTTGTTCAATTCTGTGGATAATATCAACCGGCCGAGATCATGCGCGATATGATCCCACTGTTGAATTATCTGCTTGATACTCTGTGTGGCTGTATACTCTAACTGATGAGTTGAACCCTTCAAATGCCGTTCAATTTCTGTTGGCCATACTGCATACTTGCATTGACGGCATATGATGATGGGGTATGATTCACACTGAATGAATAATTGATGTTCCATGTTAATGAAGTCAGTGTATTCTTGAGTTGATATATATATATATATATATATATTCTTTGAAAATGAAGTATAAACACACTTCACTCGACAATGTTAATTTGCTCTAAATTTAAGTTTTGTAATGCTTCTAAGCAATTGCAGATCAATACTTAAATGTATGATGTTAATTTCTGTCTGATTGTTATTTCGCTGATCTGTGACCGTTTTGATGATGGTAGTTGCCCTGGGGCGAAATATATATATTTAATATTGATAACTCTGCAAAACAACTTATCTACCTTAATGTTGTAATAATATGATTTTCTGATGAAATTATGTCTTGAAATTAAATATCATACTCTGTATATATAATATAACTGGCTCCTGAAGTTTAAGGTCTGGTTGTGATGAGTTGTCTATGAAAATATAATATTATACATTTTATAACGGAGGTGAAAGGCTGATTTGTATTGAAATTTATAAAGATGACAGCTAGCTGCTGAAGTTGGAAATCTGGTCATAATGAATTGCATGAGAAAAATATATATCTTTTATCATTTATAGCTCTATGTTGTCATCTATTTCTACTGTTACATATGATGGCTGCTGTTTTTGAGCTTTTCTGCTAACGCTCTTTTCCATGTTCCGTGCCCGCTTTCGCACCCCTGGGCCTGGGTTAAACCCCAGGAATTCATGCCACTCCCGGCTGACAGCCTGGTACCGCACACGCCGTGCCTCAATGTGGCCTGGTGCCTCCTGCAGCCCCCGCGCATATACTGTACCTGCAGCCCAGGATCCATGGCCTGCCTGCTGGTCTACTGCCGCATCATCTGCCTCATATTCCCGCTTGAACCCTCCACAGGACAGGTGCATACGCGAGATGGCAATGGCGGCATGCCGCCAAGTGATTACATTGAGCTTGGTCTGGAGGTGTGTCTTTGCCTCGCGCTGAAGCACCACCCGCAGCCGGCTGCTGTCCCACGGTCCATGCCCCCGCGGCCAGAGAAATGGTGACCGCAGCCCCCCTTGGCTATCACTGTCTCCATATGCAAGCCGCTGGACCGCCCGCGCGAAAGGTAGAATCAGCCAGAGGTAGTACACCACCAGCTCGGACTGGAGCACTCTCGGGAGGCGGTGGGCAACAGGGTTTCTGAGTGCGGTCAAACACCGGCTCCAGCTGGTCCTGCATCATCGCAGCCACTGCGGCCTCCCGGAGACCTGCCGTCGCGGCCGAGGGATGGTTGCGGTGCCGCTTAGCCAGGTGGGTGAGGACATTTGCAACAGCAACAGCAAATCCACATGGGCGGCAGATCCACAGGCGGTGGGACCTATTATAAATAAAGAGATCCATTCTCACAGTAAATCTCTCATCAAAGTTGGCTGTCTGTCAATATTTGAAAGAGTATATTTAAAAGAGGTCAGTCAGAGATCAGAAGAAAGAGCAAAACATAAGAGAGAGAAAGAAAAAAAAAAAGAGAGAGAGAGAGAGAGTGAGCAGCCAGCAATCATGCACGAATGCGTCAATATATAAATGCATTAATGTGGAGACGCGTGGATGTGCGAGCAGGCCAGGCCAATAAGGCCAATAAAAACTGACAAGATAAGAAGAGATGAGATATGAGAAGGGAAGAGGGAGCTCGACTGTGACCGGGCCCCACTGCGGGCACGCGGAGGCGGGAGCGGGAGCACGCACGGGCGGCCAATCAGGGACGGAGAAAATCGGACGGGGGCGCGTCGGACCACGCACTATGTAGGAACTTGGCATAGTTTAACCCTAACCCTATAACCTCTCATGTCTAGGCATGTCCAGCGGATTTGACTTTTAAATGGTTTCATCCCACTGGATTGTATGTGTAGCGCCCGTGACGGGTTCGTCAACCGATGCGACCCGTA